AGCAGGAATCGACCCTGTTAAAAACATTGACCGAGATTTTGCAAATTGCCGCGTAATCTCATAAATATGCCTGAAATTTAAGCTGTCGATTATCTTTCAAAAGATTAATGTTCTGAATCTTTTCACGTTATAGAATCACTTTTTCATCCAGAAACTGGAAATAATTACTAGACTTAAGCGAAAAGAGATAACAACAAAAACATGCTTGATTTTAACTTCTCAAAAGTTCCCGCTCAGCAAAACATCTGCGAAGTAGTCAATAACTTTAAAGCCACGTCTTTTTCCGTTTTTATCTGCAGCCTTTTGATTCGGAATAGTTTTTTATCTCAAAAGTGACTAGACAAAAAAAATGCTTTTCGCTGCAGGTTTAGTTTTCGAGCATATCAATCAATCCTCTTTTTTTCAATCCACCCAATAGCCAATGACTAATATCAATTTTCTCTCCCTCTTTAATACTAGTTCCGGTTGCTTTTCTTCCTTCCGCTTTTAGTGTGACGCTATACCGTTTAACTGGTAGGATCATTTAACTTTTAAACTTCTACCGAAAGACCTAGAGGCTTATTCAAGTTTCTTCAAATTGCACATGAAGGAGAGTCAAGGAGTTGACTTTTTATTGAGAGGAAAAATTCTTTTTCTCCCCTATTATGGAGTAATTTAAGAATTCTGCCTTTGGAACAGAAGGATGGATGGCACGAGTCTCCTCCTGTTTTATTCCAAGCTGTTTTATTCACAGCTAGTTTTAAGAGAGTTGATTAAACATTTCGCAGTCGTGGGCAAACTTTTCAGTGGATAAAAGAAACCCCTGCAAGAGGCTCAGGTCTGCACCCACTCCCATTGTTTTCACTCTTTACTTCAAATTCAGAGCGACGAAACCCTTGATATGAATAATATCATGTCTGCTATCCTTCTTTCACTGCCGTCCGTAATTACAATCTCACGGTCCATCGATAACAAAACCAGCTTCCCTGTCTGCTATCCTTCTTTCATTGCCATCCGTAGTTACAATCTCACGGTCCATCGATAACAAAACCAGCTTCCCTGTCTGCTATCCTTCTTTCATTGCCATCCGTAATAACAATCTCACGGTCCATCGATAACAAAACCAGCTTCCCTGTCTGCTATCCTTCTTTCATTGCCATCCGTAATAACAATCTCACGCTCCATCGATAACAAAACCAGTTTCCTT